TATATATATATATATATATATATATATATATATATTCCCTCCCACTTAACATAACTTCAATTCCCTCATATAATATCACTTTATTATTGTGGGGTGTAATCAGGTTGATTGACTGAAAATTGAACATTAATGGCTTCATTTTGGTAGTTGTGAACCCCACAAAGTGTTGATTTCCACCGTTTTAATGCCTTAAGAGACTTCAACGGTGTTGCATAAATCTGATTTTAATAAATTTTGTATTAAGTAAGAAGTCAAACTTGTCCAACTCAATTGTTTGAAATAATTTTTATAGTTTTAATGAATTAAAAACGCTTTACTGCTCTTTCCCTGACAATTAGAAATTGGTATTTAGCATACTAGTCTTCTGAAGTAGCAATCAGCTGGCTTTGGCCTACCAAGGGAACAGGTGGCCTTCGTCCTTTTCTAAGAAGTGCTCCAACAAATTGATGAATTGACCTTATGACTCGGTGACAGAAGGGACTCAAAATATATCAAAAGAAGATACCTTACTGACGGTAAACCATACACAAGGTTATACGAATTAGAGATCTCAAATTGAACCATTCAATAGACAATAGGCATCACAAATAGCAGGACAAACTCACATTATTTATCCATGTCTTCACTATAATAGCTAACTTCCAAGGGGAGGTCAGACAGGGATTGAATTGAAGAAAAAGTAGCAGCAGCTAGCTAGCTACTCGATCAAAATTATTGCCATCCATATAGTTGAGATGAGGCCTTTAAAAGTATATTCCAGCTGGGCAAGACATAAGACCAACCAAACATTTAACAATGTCCATGCTTAATGCATGCTGCACCTAAAACATGGTCCTTTTTGCTTTCATAATCTGCACTAGTTTGATAACTCCAAATTAGCTTATTAAGTGGAGAAGCTGAAAGAAGTCAAAACAAATTGAAAAGGATTTATGCTTTAACCATCTAGACTAAGCTTCTTAATACATTCCTTAATAAGGATACGTAGGCTTGATGGAAGGCAAAGGCCGAGAAAGGTGAGAAAGTAATGAAGCAATAGAGCTTACATATGCCCATGTGGGATGGGCGGGCTACCATATTATTGCTAGAAACTTGCCTACAATCGCCTGCATGGGTTCTAGGGATGGGCATTCATGTGCCAACTCTTTCCGTTTATAATGTGTGCTGCAGCAGTACTCCTATACTCAATATCCTACTAATAGTAATAAGAACTCTATATTGCAGCCCAGCACATTAGACCTAACACATAACTGGGATGGATGCAGTTTTAATTGGACCTCTGCCGCACATGATGTTGTTTGTCATATTTTTGGCATTGCACAAAGTGTGTATATATATATATATATATTGCCGCACATGATGTTGTTTGTATAATTTTTGGCATGCCACAAAGCTGTGTATATATATATATATATATATATATATATACACGTTTGAATTTAGCTATGTCAAAGGCATATATTCACTATTTATTAGTCTTTTTCATGTCATAACTGATGGAAAGATATTTCAACACGTCAGTTCATTATTATATAGCATTTAAAAAAATTGGTAAATCTTCTGAAATTTGAGCCAATAACCTCTTAAAGTCTTAAACTTAGTGAGAGCTAGTAGTGCTATTCTGTTGTGACTATCTGGTTCTGAGTTGGAATCAAAATCCCCAGGCAAAAAGGTGGACATCTAGGACGTTTGCACTAAAGACTATTCAACAAGTGCTCCAATTCACTCCCAAGTCCCAAGTCAAAACTGCTTGAATTAAATCTTAGGCCTGTAGAACACCTCGATCGGCATCTTTCCTCTGCTTCTCGAGACAGGGACAACAAAAACGAAAAACATATCAAGACAATTTCGAGTGATCTTGCTCATTGTAATTCATGCTGCAGAACAGGTTATATGATACATAAAACAAGATTACAAACAACTGCAATCATGTTGAAGCAGAAAAAGGGAAATTCAACAAGGACCTCAGCCATGCATGATGCATGTAAGGAGCACAACTGGAGAAATAACACAGTTAAAAACTAAAGGTGCTGCAATCCGGTGAAAGTTGAAGGGAGCTGTGACCTGTAAGGACAAAACCAGAATGCTAGATGCAATCGATATGAACATCCTGTGCAATTGTAGACTGTTCAATTTTTTGTTCCTGACAACTTTGGTCGTTAATTTAACCGGCAATATGTTAAGAAAGGAATGGCCCAGTGTGTAGTAAAAATGAAATAGCAGCAAAGAGAAATGAGAGGGGAATTAGTTCTTTTTCCCAGTTAATATGAACTATTAATTAATCAGTGGAAAGATACAAAATTCCCTTCCTCTTAATATACACCTAGGAACATGGAAAGCAAATCAACTTACATTACACGCGCTCAGTGCTTTAATTATCTCAAACCCTTAAGAGCATAATAACAAAATAAGTATTCTAGAGGGTTTAGTGAATCAAACAGCATAAAAACAAAGCGCTTCGAGATTTGGGACAATTCGGAAATAAGCACTTTGCATTTAGCCAATCAAAGGTGTTTCTTGATGGGCCAATAAACACCATGTTGAATCGAGTTACTTTTGAGGAAGTTTTCCATCCAAAGTGCCACTCAGAATGTTTTCTTTTCCTGTGGCATTTGATGTTCCCCAGACCAACAAACAACAGAACGCAGGCCAAAAGTTAGAAGCCTTGAAATTCATATGAACAGTCAACAATTCAACAGAACCATACTCAAGTGCTTCCAAGAGCATCACCTCCCATAGACTTGCGATTGAGGTAGCGGATTACAGCATCTTCAATCCTAAAAGTTCCAGAAAATAGGAAAAAAGAAAAAAACTGTCAGAAAATGCTTTAAATTAAGAAATAATTACATTTCAATGGTGCTCCAAAGGTAATTAAACACCCCATGGACACCCTACAATTTCCAAGTAAAACAAAAGCAGCAACTATGATCCACTATGCTATGCAGGGCATGGCTCTCCTATACCAACATGGAGAAATTCATAGCTATATCATACTGTATTTTATTCAGAGAAGCCAGAAAGAAAATGCAGCTATGCTAGAAATTTAAACTAGATGCCAAAATAATAGATTATACTGCCTGGGATTAAGGAAGTCCTAGGATTTTCTTCTAAAGATTGGTAATCAATGCTGTTAATAATAAGTGCTCACTGGATGAAAGTACTGATTCGTACAAATGTTTCTTTTTTTCTGCTGGACCAAACAAATCCATTGGCAAGATCTAGCAGAGTGTAACAGGTAATGTTCTGTGACAGATTTATGTCAAATATACACATGGAAACAAACATAGAATGAAAATAAAATAAGTAAAACAAGGTTTACCATGGTTGGTTATAGAATTCAGATCGCCGCTCCTTTTCAGCATTATCACTAGCATCCCCAGCAAAGAGCTTCAGATCCTTACTTTGCGAAGCAATTAAAGCATTAATAAACTCTCCTGGAGACTGGCTGAAACCAAGGAAGAAAGCTCGTCTCCGGTAATGCTCGTGTATTTTCTTTATAGCAGCACAAATTACTTCATTGCAAGCATCAATATCTTTGTTCTTCTCCATGTTTGCTAAGAATGCAGACTTTTCCTTTTCTAATGGAAAAGGCACATCAACTAGGACATCATAACAAGTAGATCCAACAGGGCAGTTCCCTGAAAGCTTGATCCTGTGCTCCAAATGTATAGGCTGTAGAGGCGTTAAATGCTGTGTTATCTTGTGTGGAACCATTATGAATTTCATTTTTTCTTCCCCAAATACCTTCTGAAGAGGGGGATCACATGCAAAGAAGGAGTTGTCTTCATAATTCTGTAACTTCTTACACTTTACATAATGCCAAATTGCAGCCATGACTCTTGGGCGAGTGTCTACTTCAATTCCCAGGACTTCTGCTAGAGCAGGTGAAAGTTTAAATCGTTCAGGCATATAATTCATTTCTAGTCGTATTCTTGCAGTAGATTCCTTGTCACCTTTCCTCTTCACCTCAAAGCCCTCATGAAGGGCCGGCGATCTAGCACTCTCCCACAAAATCACATGGTTATCTGGATAGAGACTTGCGTCCAAGTATATTGTAATTTTCTTGAAGAAAGATGAGAATTTGGGGTATGATTTCTGCACCTTTCCAGCAACAACAGGGTCTTTCCCATCTTCCAATATTCTACCAATGATCTTAAGTGACCATGATGGAGCCTCTGTACTCGTCTTGTCAGGATCTGTTTGTCCCTGATTGGAATAAGTATTGAAGACATATAATCTAAGCGTCTTCTGAACACAAGGAGGATTTTTAAGCGACTGTTGAATGTCGCTCTTCTTTCTTGACAAAGCAGCATCCACCTTAGCCTCAAATTCAAGCAACTGTGTGTATAAAGCACACTCCGGTAACATTGCTGCGACCTTATCAGGTATTTGTCTCTCAGGAACCTTCCGCTTTTTTCTATGAGCAGCAGGGGTTAACTCCATTGTTTTAAACAGAGAAGCCATATTACTATTAGATGAACTAGAATGTTTGGAAGGTGGCTTCTGAGAAGACCGCTTGGCACTTCCAGAGCCAGGGGTGGAAACCACAGGGGAAGGGGTTGCAGTCGCATTACTATTACTGACATTTTGTGATTGCACCTGAGCTTGGAATTGGGAATGGGCAGCTTGAGCTTGAGCTTGAGCATGAGCCTGCACATACTGTGCCTGCGCAAGCACCTGAGCTTGAGGCTCAGACAACTGAAAGTGGCCTGGAAACTGAGGCCCACCTTGTGTTTGAGGTTGTGCCTGAGAAAGAAGTTGGGGTTGATTGTTCATGGGCATCGATTGCGATTGTGCCACATTTCCAGAGTTTGCAAACTGGGATGGAGCCCCAAATGTCTTTGGTAGGTTATTGTTATTCATCGAAAACAGCCAACTATAAACCAAAATATCTCTCAAAAGCTAAACCACACTATTCCACCAAAGCATATTATCCCACACGTAGCCAACCAAAGCCCTGATTTTGACAAAAACAACACCAAAAATAAGATGCTGGGTACACAAAAAGAAAAAGCTTTCGTTCTTGACTGTTCAATATTCACACTCAAATCAACTCAATCTCAGGAAACACAAAACCAATTTAAACCAAAAAACTCAAATCTTGGGCATGAACCAAAACCCTAAAACTAATTCTGAACATGGTCACAAAAACCAACAACCCATTCAAAATTCCTGTGATTATAACTCAATAAAAGCTGGTAAAAAAACTGCAAATTTAAAAACTAAACAAAGCTATGAACATTATGATGATCAACCGAGAAAGACAAAGCTTTCTTACAATGACAAAGAGCTGAGTATTCCGGTCCGGTTCTGCTTTGCTCCCCTGCTCTTTCTTTCTGTCTCAGATCGGGTAAAGGAGCGCCTTTTTTTCCTCTCCCTTCCACTTTTTAAAATCAGAAAAACAAATATTGAATTTTCCTTTCTCACTTTGGTTCAAGGAAAACGGAGCCAAATCAAATCTGCTCTCTCCTTTCTGAACAGTGAACTCTCGCTGTTGAAGTAAACAAGAAGGCCTCTTTTTGTTAGGTGGCAAGTGTTGAGGCCCAATTGAAATAGCCCAAGAAAACAAAACTTGGGCTGGATGAGGGACAAAGATGGAAGCCCAATACGAAAGCGTAAACCCTAAAAGCCATCAATCTTACATGCTAGAAAGTAGAAACCCTAACACGCTCTTTTTCTCTTTGGTAAGGAAGTGCACCCCTTAGCAGCAGAAGCAGCAGCCATGGTATGTCAACCTTCTTCATTTGTAAAGCTCTCTCCATTTCTTCTTGGAAGCAGTTTTTCGTTTCTTGGAAAACAAATTGTTTCCTTTTCCCATTTTTTGTTATTGAATTTTTTTTGTTTTCATCTCCTTTTTATTAGGTGAAGTACTCGAGAGAGCCAGACAACCCGACCAAGTGTAAGCTTTAATTTCGTTTCTTTTGAATACTTATTACTTACGATCTTGTTTAACATTCTGCTTGGTAGCTGAGAAAATGTAGGAAGCCAAAATCCATTACTTCAATAGGATTCTAGACTCTCTTTCTTTCTGCCCTTCGTTTTCATTCATTGAAAGAAATTTGGATCTTGATTGTTGCTTTATTTTATGACTTGTGTTTCAGCCTGCAAAGCTAGGGGCTCTGACCTCCGTGTTCATTTTAAGGTGTGCTGATCTCTTTTCGGTGATTATTTGTCTGTGAATTTCTGGAGCTTTTTAAACGTGCATTTTTGTTTAACCTTTGGATGGTATTAATTAAGCTTCTGAACAGTTTATATGTAAATGACTAAGATTCATACTTTTGCTGAAGTTTGACAATACTCAAATGCCGCTATTTGGATTTACTCGTTACCCAGGATATGGTTTCTACATGTGGCTTATTATACCAATGGGAAGTTATTGTTTTATGAATGATTATTTTCATCCTTTGCTTTTGCTGATTGAACCTGGTTTGTGTGCTTATGCAAAGAAACCTATTAGATGTGTATATGTCTCTTGGTAATGATGGCCTTGGTACTTTAGGATGGCTAAGGTGTTAGTGAGATGACTATTAACAATGATAGCGTCCAATAATTGTGTGAAGTACACGTGCATTAGTGATAAGGTGTTTATACTTAAATCTTCTCCTAAAATGGTTTTGTTACTCCTTTTAACAGAATACTAGGGAAACAGCCTTTGCAATCCGAAAGCTGCCTTTGACAAAGGCTAAAAGGTACTTGGAGGATGTTATGGCCCACAAGCAAGCCATTCCATTCCGGCGCTTCTGTGGTGGAGTTGGGCGAACCGCGCAGGCTAAAAATCGCCATTCTAATGGTCAAGGTCGCTGGCCTGTGAAATCTGCAAAATTCATTCTTGATTTGCTGAAGAATGCCGAGAGCAACGCAGAGGTATATATTAATGAATTTGGCATATAAATTTTGCCACTTTCCTAGCTATTAAACCTGTGCATCTTCTCTCCACTTTTTTCTTAGGTGAAAGGCTTGGATGTAGATTCGCTTTTCATATCTCACATCCAAGTGAATCAAGCACAGAAGCAAAGGCGCCGAACATATCGTGCACATGGAAGAATTAACCGTAAGTGATTTCTTTTACAACCTTTTTTCACTTTGGGGTGTGGTTTTAATTATCTGAATGTGTGCTTAATTGGGACCTTTGTTCTTCTTTGGCAGCTTACATGTCTTCACCATGTCACATTGAACTGATTTTGTCAGAGAAAGAGGAATCTGTCAAAAAAGAGGTAATTGTTTCATGAGAAAATTGTCTTTTAACTTCATTTAAGGTTATTTTGTGTCTGTATTAAGAATCTTCATTAGGTTCATCTGTTGAACACCCTAATATTAGTAGTGTCACATTGCATCTCATACAAAACTGTTTTTGCAGCCTGAGACTCAGTTGGCTCCTAGGAAATCAAAGGGTCAATCTCTACGGAGCGGTGCTTCCTCTTAAACTGCTGAGTGATGGATCATATTCAGAAACGATTGTCTTTTCCTTTCATTGTGTCTGTAATGAGAACATTTTTGTTTCCTTTACTAAGGTGCTCAAGACTCAAGCTTGTCTCTGGAAATACTTGGTTTCTATTTAAATCTTATGTCAAAAGCATTCTGAATCTTGTTGGTTGGGGCTACCTATTTTTTATATGAATTCTTATTTAATGGTGGTTTTGCAGCAGTCTACTATTCTGGCATTGTTTGAATGGAAGGGGACAAGTGATGGAGAGTAGTGCCCTCTCACTTATACTTCTAGACCTTCTAGACCTATTAAATGGGATTCGAGGGGAAAACTTTCGTTTCACTCGATCAAACAAAATGTTTAAGAGGTCTTTTTTCATTTAATTGTCTTCCATCTTAGTTTGCTTACACAGGCATAACTGGTTCAATTTGTGTTTGCTTTAGTACAAATGATGACTGCCCTTTCAAGCTTAGGCAGCTTCTCTGCTGTTGCAAAACAAGGTCGTCCAGAAGCCTTTGTAGCCTTTTGACAAGAACTAAACCAAGTCGTGCTTTGGGAGCTGTAATGCCTGCATGAATCATCTCTGATACTAGTTGACAAGCTGCAAGACTTTAGCTTGATTAATCGTAGTTAGTTTTGAGGCAAATGTTAATATTATCGGCAATGTGCTGTTTTTGGTCCGCTTGCCAAAGCCCTGGTTTCGCCTGATTCTGGTTTACATTGCAGCACAAGTTTCTCGTGGGATTGGAGACTTATCTGACCTTATAAAATGGATGACATAGCATCAAGCTTTGGAGTACCTTTAATCCACAGATCAAATATGCAAAACATGAGGTAGAAAGAAGGCTCCTTGCCTGATGCCTCCATGTAATCCAGTAACATACAAGGAACATCTATATGGTTAATTCCCTGTTGAGGAGACATCATCATCAGTAAGGTGTCAATAGGTTCACTACCTCCCAGTTTATACTGAGTCTGCTTTTTCCATTTATGGATAGACATTAAATTTACTCAAACCATCTCAATACATAATCATGGCCGAATCAAAGAGAATATTGTCTGAAAAGAATAAACTTGGATGAAGTTAGACAATGGGTCCAAGCAAAATCCAGAAAAGAAATTATACAATTGAACATCCTCATGAAGCAATGGATACATGATTTGTCATGGTTAATACAGAACTTGAACCCAAGATGTAACCAAAATATCAAGGTTGTACAGCTTCTAGAAGTTTCTCATACACCTGTCTGGCAGACAAGTCCTCAACCTAATGCAAGAATCAAATGTTAGAAGATTGCCCACAATCTTACAGAAGCAATGCCCAGCACAGATGATTGTTCTTGTAACATGTCTAGTGCACAGTAGTTGGGAAAAGTGATGAACAATAGAGTGAACAAAGAAAAACAAATCAATCAAAGGAGTTTGCCAGGCATGAGTTCAAAGTGAAATTTTACAGACTGCAATGGTCATTCAAAAGTGAGGTGTATACAATATGGCAATGGACGGCAGAAGCTTCTACATTAATTTTCAGCTGCTGGAAAAACTATCTGAAGTTAATATTTCCATCTCCAACGGACGCCAAAAGGGATTATGATAAACATTCATAACAGCAAGTGCCCATAGCATGAGCACACATACACAGGCATAGTAACATACAATAAAGGTGCATGCAATTCAACTTACCACAAGAAGCTTCGATTTGTTATTCCATCCTCTCTGAAGAGTCATCTGGCTCAGTCTCAGACCCAATACCTGAGTTGAAGGCAAAGATGGATTACTTCAACTCAGCATTCTTAAAGTCATTCTATAATATTATGAGCTTAATTCAGTAGTTTCAAATATATATCAAAGAAAACCTTTCCCATGAATTCCAAGAGTTCATTGTTAGCTTCACCACGAGCTGCAGGTGCAGCTACAGTAACTCGCACATCATCTGCATTTACTCCTAGAAAGAATAAAAGGTCAGGACAAAGTTCTACGATCAAGAACAACAAAAAATATCTTCATCCTTCATTATTTTAAGAACTAGAATGTAAAAAGCATCCTATAGGTAACAGATAACATATTATGAAAAGATGGCCTCTGCCTGTTAAGGCAGAAAATATCTACCTCAGCTCTGACAAAACATTTTTGCAAATATTCTAGGTGTCCTAACACAATACCATTTTTTCTTAAAATTTGTTGATTTCGCCATTTCAGCTGATGCTTCATCAAAGGCAGCATGTCCATGGCCTACAAATCACTTAATTTTTTTTCCAGGGTCAGAGTAGTGATTGTCAATTACATTCCCATCCTTGCATAGGCCATAATTTTGACCTCATACAGATTACATCAAACATCTCAGTTAGCACGTATAAATGTCAGGCCCATTTCAGATGCTATGCGTTCAACTTTACATAATTTTGTTGGTACTCATGCCATCCACTTAACTTCATTTCCCTTGCTTCAAACTTAATCTCCCATCTCCACTACTGATTGCATAGGGTGCTTAATCATGGTATAAATGTTGTTAGAATGATAGTGTTCCAATGTGTTTTCCAACTCAATGAGTTCTCGAGAAAACCATCCATGGTTCTTTATATGCGATGGTGCAATAGGATCTTTCTATCAGAGGTCTGAATTGGTCTCTTTGATTAAGCATGAAAAAAAAGGGTCCTCAAACTCATGTAACTGGAAAGAGAACTAAATGACAAGAATTTGGCTAGAAGGTAATATATTCAAGCATTACAAAAAATTTTCAGCAAATATAAGGTGTTGAAAGGAAAGGCATGCATAAAGAATATCAAAAAGGTAATTGAATAAGCCTGTTACTTGTGATTGCTGAACGCTGTGCACGGTCTTCCACCTCTATGGCCACTTGAACAAGTCCCCCCTCTAACTGTGATATGCAAGGTGGCACAGGAGCATCCTACAACATATATAACGAAACCAGTAAAGGGAAGTATTAAGTAGTACAAATATTTATATTAACTGTCACTTGGTGAAAGATATTGTGAATAAAGTCGTTCAGACACAGATGTGTGCTCCAGTCTTTGAAAATAGATATTGGCAAATTCTAAATAACTAAAAGGAATGAAGATCCACATATGATGGATGACAACAACAGTCCACAATCATCATTTCTACCTGTGGGTTCGTTTCTGCAGCAACCGTACTTAGGGCACCATCAACAGCATAAATGAAAGAAGCAGCTTCTAGATCTTCTTCAGCCCGATAGCAAACAAACAGGCCACAACCTATACAGTTCATACGGAATTGCTTCTCCAATTTCCCTTCTCCCCTGAAAGAAGATACCGTGGTTGTAACTTCAAACTTTCATGCAACTGCAGTTTAATTATAAAAGACAAGCAAACATCAGCCGCCCACCCCCCACTCCACCCCCTCTTTTCCAATAGCCAAAAATGAGATTAAAATGTTTCAATAAAAAAAAAGGTAAAAAAAAAATGAATGATGTTAAGGAAGTAAGCAACATAGCATTTAAAAGTATGTTGCGAGGCAAAACACTAGGAACATTGAGGCAACTTGAAATACCTCTTCAACAGAACTTTTCCGGCCTCACTGATATTAAGCCTAGCAAGATGCTTTTTCTTGTCCAACACATATGCTTTGTCAGTCTTTCTCTTGGGCATTTTCTGCAATTGGGTATCTTATGACAAATATATTTCAGTAAGGGAAAAGAACATTTCTAAATTAATCAACCAACTAAAATGGTCAACCTATAAAAAGATCAATCAAATAGTGTATATCTGTTATAAAGCGGAGTTTCACCAAGTTACAAGTACAGCTTTGTTTCTTTCATCTTCTTTTCTCTTTTTCTTTTTTTTTTTTTTGATAAAAATGAAATGCAAGATCTAAAAATACCTATTAGCATTCAATTTCACCAACAAATATCATAATTGTGGTTTGTGCATCAAAGCTGAGGTTTGAACTGCTCCACCAGGATGGAGATGACTTTGTTGAGTTACACACTTCATATCAACTGCAACTTTATGAAATTTGCGGTTGCATTTGAACTTAATTTCATGAATGGACAAGCTTACTACAATCAAATTTTAAAAACTTTTTTTCTAATATTCCATGGATACACCAATTGAACTTGTGGATAACTTGGCCTAAAAGTGGCAAAAAGAGCACGATTGAACATTTTCACCATTATGGAATAGTAATACCTAACCGTGCCACATAAAAGCTTATCCAAAGCATTTGGATCAGCAAGCCAGTAGATAAGGAGAAGGAGAACAAGAACATAAATCAAACTCCAGAGCATATCAAAGATTAATAATCCTGGCATAAACAAGGTGAAAGCATTGATTTTGCAAACCAGGAAAAAAACGGCGTTTAAATGTCTTAATCTAGATCAAACACTCAGCAGCACTTAATTTTCGAATCAATAATGGAGTTAACTCTAAAATCTTTCCCAAATTAGGCGTCGCCTTTGCGAGCGATTGCAAATTTGAAGATTTTATTGAGAGAGAAAGGAGAAGAGAGAGGAACCTGAAATAAGGACGTGGGAACCGCAGTGCTTGCAATAGTAGACGAACAGATCAGAGTCAGGTCCATCTGGGGCTGCGTCCTCGCTAGAGTACGTGTGCGTTGTTCTCTTCGGCATTTTCTTTCCCCCACTCTTCCCCTTCTCCCCTTCTCGCTCGCGACTTGCTCTTTGTTTAGTATACCCAAACAAAGTACTTCCAACGGGATCGAAGGGCGGAGGCAAGCTATAAAATAAGCTGCGTGCTGCTCAGCAAGCTAAGCGGTGTCGTTTAAGAGCTTTGAATGATCACACATTTGTTCCAAGGAAAATACTATCTTAAACGTTTTAATCAAAATTTCAAATATATCTATTAATTTTTGAAATAAATACTTCATTTTAAAAAAATATTTTTGATATATTGATTTAAAGATTATGTAATATTATTAAAAAAAAATTTTACTTTCTATTATTTTAAAAATTATTATTAATTTTTCATTTATTTCAAAAAATAAAAAAACACGGATTGGTGCTTCTTGTACCTATCATGCTCTTAAGGGAGGATAAAAATCTTTTTTAAAAAATTATATAATAATAACATTGTAAATTAATAAAAATATTTTAATTTTTTAATATTTTTATTAATTTTTAAATAAATTATTTATTTTAAAAATTAATAAATCTACATGATTGCTTATTTCCTATATATTCTATTTAATACGTCAAAACATCTATGGGATTGTAATTGCTCATTTTCTCCCCTTTTCCAGCTACTTGAAAGTCATTGTCCGAAGCAATATCTTTGGAATTGCGTTGGTAACCTTCGACATGGATCACCGCCTGCTTTTTAACCGGATGATCGTACGTTGATACTCCGTCCTATCCAATACTACATAAATCTCCTAGCTGTCCACTAGGGAGAATGACAGACAAAACTTCCATGTTTAAGTTATTGTTGTGATTCATAATTTTTATATATTTTTTATCTAAATTCTCATATATTTACATTAAAATTATTAAAATTTTACATAAGAATATTTATACTAAATTTGAAAATTTGAGAGAATATAAATTAGTTCGAATTATGTTTATTTAAGAAACTCAATATTGAATTTTTTTAGTTTGTGTGATATGAATTTTTAGCTTCATGATTTCAAATTGCCAATTCAACTATTAATCTCTTTATCCTTATTCTCATACATTAGGTTCAAATTAATAAAACATTATTTTTATAACAAGCTATACCTTAATAATAATAAGTTCCTTCATGTTGAAATACCATACGCACGATATACAAGAAAATTTAGTATGTAGTGTAAAATTGAGAAAATAAAAAATCAATACCTTCTTGTTTAAATACTTTCTGCCAGAAATACCAGAAAATTTAATTAGTTTAAAATTGAGGTACCATTAAATAAATTTAATATTGATTTTATTTTTTATTTTAATTTATCTGATATGATCTTTTACATTTAATTTCATACATTTGCTTGAAAAGACTAATTTGAACTTGAACATTTTTATTCTAAATCTCATAGATTAATGGTAAAATTAAAACAATGTTATTTTTTTAACATTATGCTGTTAAATGTTTTATGCAAACTACCAAGTTGAGTGCTGGTACTAAATTAACAAAAGAAAACTCATTGGAACCAACAATTGCCACCTTGAGAAATCTCTTATTTGGCAATTACCCAATGGGTTCCTCAATGATCTCAATCTCAATCTCAATCTCACAGTAACTGATATTCCATAGTCAAATCGATCCATTAAGAGAAAAATTGTCTAAGACAGCCATTAAAGAGACATATCCAGCACAAAAATCACATATTAAGTTCTATGGAACAAAAACACAAAACATATAAGCTACATCATAGAAGGCCTCTCCAAAAAACTGCTAGTGCACGCATTCCAAACAGCAATGGACACACATTCTGCGAGTCAAACATTAAGTCACAAGGTGAGATGGCAAACATGGCATAAAATTATTAACATGAAAAGAAAGGGTTTGTACTAACAAAGGATGGAGATTTAAATCACTGCCAACTGAATCAAATCAATTTTTCTTGGTAAATGAAAAATTACACAAAATCTAATTATTATCTTTAAAACCTTTTTATCTTTTCTTGAATAGTGCATCAAATGCAAATATGTATATATAAATAAATAACATATATACAATATATATTAAATGCCAGTATACAAATATTTTTAAAAAATAAATGATATCATATATTAACTTCTTATGACTAAATCATAATTTTAATGCAAAGACATTATAAATAAATTAATTAAAAGTTCAAACAAGGATTTCCTGTAAAGTTAAAAACATAAAATATGGTTACAGAAGGAACAATCACATATGTATAACAATACTTCTTCATATGATATCAATATATATGCAAGTTTGAGTATCTTAATGCCCAGGCCTACTCAAACTTTTTTATTATATATACATATATATAAACATGTACATATATATTTTTAGTATTTTTATAATATATGTGTATCATATAAATAATTTTTAATTTATTACAAAATATTGTTAATGAAAAAGCATGTCATTCAAGCTTGAGCTCAAGCTTAATGGAACTTGTTTTTTACTTCGTTGCAAGGCTGATCAAGCAAGCCTCATTAAATCAATTTCTTTATCTAGTCGAGCATCAGCTAGAAAAATAGAAATCAATTGAGCTCGAGTTGAGCTTTGAGCCACAACTTTCGAAGTCATGCTCAAGCTTTGACTCTTTTAGCTCAACTCATCTTGATTACACCCCTACCACAAGCAATAGGAAAAGAAGCTGAATGGTATCATGGAGAAAGGATAAAAATGTTAGTAAAAAGCTCTTGTGGAGAATGATTAACTTATGTTCTAGCATTCCTTTTAACAAGAAAGTTGTGACAGTTAACAATGCTTTAAAGCTCCTTATCAGGTGGCAAAACCCAAAAAAGAAGGGTAATAAATCTATAATACGGAAACTTACAGATTTTGTTGAAGGCAACAATGTCACAACTTTGAACATACTCATTAGTAGGTTCAGTTGTTAGATGTTCCTCAATGAGAGTGTCAACTGACACCAAATCATCCACAATGGTCATCATAATTTGCAACTTCTTTATTCCGTAACCAACAGGCACAAGTTTAGCTGCCACATGAAAAGAACTTTATGTCAGACGAAATACACTCAATAAGAATCATTCAATTTCAAGATAATTCGAAAACTATCCAAGCCATCCCCAAGTAAAAGGATACAAAATACACACAACAAAACCATATCTGATTAACCACTTACATGCTCCCCAAAGCAGTCCTTCCATCTTAATACTTCTTACTGCTTCCTCAAGTTTCTTCATGTCAGTCTCATCATCCCATGGTTTGACATCCAACAACACTGAAGACTTGCCAGCTGAGAATAAAGAAGGAGAATTCAAATAAGTTAAAATCAGTGATGTAGAGCACGCATGCTAAACCATATTTGATTAAATAGAAAAACAAATAGGAAAGCACTAATCATCGAAGGGCTCACATTCTTTCTTCTTACTAGAGGCCTTCAAGGAAGCTGCACGTTCTTCTGCAGCCTTCTTTTCCTCCTCAGTCTCTTCACCAAACAGATCCACGTCATCATCATCATCATCATCTTCAGCAGCTGCAGCCTGCAAGTTGCATAATATATCCAAGCAACATGCGAATCAGCCAACCATCAAATAGCCCAACTTAATAAATTCAAACAGCATATAAGCAGAGATACTTAATACTTGCCTTTGAATCCTCAGCCGGAGGAGTGGCAACAGCCTCTGCAGGAGCACATCCCTCAACAGTCACACCACACCCTTCTCCAGAAACACCTCTAAAATAACAAATACAGTAGAGTTCTATCACACATTCTACTACCAGATCGATAAACTTATAGTTACACCACAAGTGGGAAAAAAAACTTACGAGATCCTCAAAAGGGCGTCGATGTGGTTGTACCACCGAGAAGTGTTCACGTAGCTGGAGGATGGAGCCCCTGAGAAAGCTACATAGACGGTGATATCATCCTTCGAAGCTTGGTATCTGCAAGGATCAATAAATTAGCGAAGATACCAAATTAACCAAGATCAAACTTCAAAACAGCAAATAAAATAATTAATGGTTTTGAAAAATTACCCAGTAATGTAACTGCGAGTGAGGAGGTACTCATCAAGCTTTTTCAGGCCAGTAGCAGAGCCCAGATCGTAGAATGCGACTGACATAACGAACAAAAAGGTATGCGGCTTGTCTCTGAAATTAACACTATTAAGCAGATAAGTGTCAAAATCAAAGTGAAAAGTGGAATTAAATTACGAAACAACGACTCAAGCTGTAGCTAAATCAGATGGAAATAATCAGTCAATCACGGGTTGGGTATAAAACAATTGAGACTCGAACAGATCCAAATGTAATTAGAAGATAAGATTGGGATGAAGTGAAGGAGATTGAACAAATTTAAATCTATATATTACCAGCGATGGACAGAGGAACTACGCGGGTGCTCTGCTACGGCAGCTACTTGTGTGAAGTATACTTAGCGAGGTCTAGGGTTTTTCAGATTATGGTATTTATAGCATTAGGCGCTGATCGAGTGTTTCGCTACTTATAGAAAGTGTTTGTGCCCTCAGATGTTCCCGCGATTAATATGTTTGTCATCGTAAATATTTTAAGATATAAATATTTATATATATATTTTTTAATTTAAGGCTATTCTGTTTTGCAAAATATTTGTTCATCATTTTTTCCAAAGCCTTAATTTGAGACAAAACAACCCAAAAAATTTTGATTTGAAGATCAGAATATTTGAAGTTGTATATGCCTTAAAACCTATAAATTTTCCTCTTAAAGTAAAGTCTTATTTTTATCAAACTCTTTATTTCTTTAATAATTTAAATTTTTTTCATTAAAAAGAATGTATTGAAAAATAAATTTTGTATTTAATGATGAATATTTCAAATTTGATGATATTGGACAGAACCAAACTCAATTTAGACTGCAGTGAAATATGAGCTGATTGTGCCAGTTCCATCGGAAGTAAACCCGGAAGCTATCGCAGGACAACAAGTCTTAAACGCTTCTCTGCTTAACGGCTTCGAATAAAGAGGATTCTCAAACCTTGTAAGTCTGATGATTCATCTCTCATTATGTTTATTTGGTTTGTACGGCTTTGGTTTCGATGTAACTCACCCGTGAAAGAGCAAAATAATGCCAAAACAGAGTAACACCATGTAATAACTAACTATTCATGTCCACCATTCGTATTTCAACCAAGATAAGGTACTTCTCTTTTGCACGTGTAGTAGCAAATAAGATCCAACAGATATAAATATATGGTAACAAATTCTCGGTAAATGATCTCTTAATTTTTTTTTTGAAAAATTAATGATCTCTTAATTATTTTAATACATTTCTAATTTATATAACCTATTTTACAATACAACACGCCCCCGTATTTCTTTTGCATTAAGCAATCAAAGTCTTCGTGAGTAATTAACAAACAATTCTCCTTCATTTCTAGTTTACCACCAAAAGTATATATCTAAGATCCATTTGATAATCCTATTGAAAGTAAATTTTTTTATGTAAAATATTTTTTAAAAAATTTAATATTTGTTGTTTAGATAAACTGTTAATAATATTTTCGTCATTTATATCATCTCATATACAATGTCAGTTAAATTATAAAAATTTTATAATCTTCAATTTTTCTTATAAATTTGAAAATGAATTTGCTATAAAAAATTCCTTCTAAAATGTAAAGTTGCTTAGTTTGCTTTATAAATTTCATAAATTTCAAACTCTAGTTTAAAGCTACAAAACCCTTGTTTGCTAAAATTATGCATTAGTTTAAAGATAATAATAGAATCCTACTACTTATTGCATTATTTTTCACTTGGCTTTATTTTATATCTCACGAAAATAGTTCAATTATAACTGATGCCCTAACCTCAATTTCCTTAGTTTAACTAAAGCACAACTGTAATATGACAATAACGTAAGATGATTAGTCACTAGAGAACGAAGAAGCATCTAAAAGTAACCCTTCAGAGATCACTATTATAGATCTTTTATTATCTGATTACTGGGCTAGCAACATTGACAATCAAAAGTCTTGAATAATATCAACAACATATTTTTTTTTATTAGAAAAAGAGCAAAGATGCCAAGACAAAAACCTAGGTCCTAATAACTTCTGGGCTTTGAGATCATGTTTTGGTTACAATCCATCTATATAATTAGTCATAGATCACATGAACCAGCAACCAAGCCAAATTGATTAATATCCAAATTATATGGAAAATCGAAGGAAGAAGGTTGAAGGGAAACAAAGATGGCAAGTGGCAAGTGCAACACAAAATGGGAAAAAAAAGAAAACAAGGACCTAGGAGATCTTTGAAGAAAATGAGAAATAGAAGATCTTATGAAAACACCTAGAAGAAAGAGTGAAGAAATGAGAGATTTATTTTCTTATTTGGGGAAGCAAAAGGAGCAGAGCATGCATGGCTATATATTGAGAATAGAAAAAGGCCACCGGATGAAGCTAACCATGTCGTCTATGGAGGAAACCAAGGGTGGTAGAAAGGATGGCAGAGAAGGGACATGGAGTCTTGGTGCATGAGGCTTTTGTTTTTTCAATTGGGAGGAAATTGTCTTACGCCGCTTGAGGGTGTAACACAATTTGCAAGGCCAGCAAGCTTTTTTTCTCATTAATCTGTAAAATATTTTACAAATTGGAAATGTTTTCCAAAAAACATTTTCAGCTAAAACAAACGGACCCCCAATATCAGTTGAAATTACAAAATTCTAGAAAAATGAAACATTGACAATTTAAACAACAAAACTCACTGAGTAAGGGTAGCCCCTAACGATACTGAAATTTTCAAGAGGCTTGCCATGAACAAACTTTTAAAATAGAGAACAAAACTACCACATACTTCACCATTTCCCTATTGGGGCACCTGAGATATGGTTTGCTTCAGTCACAACAGCAAAAGCCAATAAAAGGAAACATTGTTGAGATAGAAAAGGATCATCACCTCCGGCACCAAAAGGGGAATTTGAGATATCACCTCTTTCTTTTCAAGCCTCTTTTCAGCTTCATATATATCCTGGACAAACTTGAGCTTTAAACCAAGAAAATAGCAGCGAGAGAAATATGCAACAAAAAGAATTTGATTTGATACACACCCACTTTAACAACAGTAAGAATATTAAAAATGAGATAGTTATAGATGCATACTTTCTTATCGCAGGTTTAAGCTGTTTTGGTCCAGCCTTTTGCAGTGAATCCAGCAATGATAATTCTATTTTATAGACTTATTTTGCACTTTGTTTGAGAATAAAAATGTTGAAATTCTTTTGTGTTTTTTTAGTCATTTTTATGGTGTTTTTTTATCTTTTTATTAATTAATTTAATACATATTTGAAGATTTTTGAGTTCTTTTAGTTATTTTCAATATAAAAGCCATTTTTTAATCCTCTATTGAATTAGTCATTTGTTATTGAAAATGTGCAAGCACGTGAGGTTTAAATGGCAAGAACCGTGAAAGATGCATAAGAAGATTTCTGATCATGTTGCAGTAATTTGAACATAACTAGAGCTACAAAAATCCGATCGACGAGATTCTTGAAGCACCGGAAAGTTAAAAGGAAAGGCAACAATTATGATGTTTAGCACTTTACCCAACTCTGATTGGATTGTGATCAAAATAGTGTTAAAAGTTGAAGGATTGTTGCAAATTGCACAATAGCCAAGCAGAGAAAGGCAGCGCCACAGCCTCCGGGGTACCTAGCACAACCAAAAAGGGTCAACGCTGCAGTGCCAACTAGGAATGCATAAATGTAAATCGAGTCGAAAAATCGAACCAAATCGAAGTAAGTTTGATTTTTTCGATTCGGTTAATTCAGTTCTTTAGATAGTTTGGTTATTAGAGTTAATTCGATTTGGTTCGGTTAGGAATTTTTCTAACCAAACTAAGTAGGGTATAATAAGATTTTTTCATGAAAAATAAATTATAAACTATTATTGTTGCTTTTATCCATGTTTTTTAATTATTTGTTGTTTGTATGAGTATTCTTCTTATTTATTTTAATGGTTTATCATCATTGTTAATATTTTTGTAGTATTGATTTATAAAAAAAATACAATATAAATAAATATCTAAAAAAAGATATTTCTCAAGTTCGGTTTTCAGAAACCTAACAAAATTAACCGAATTAATTCAGTTTCAATAAGTTCAGTTATTTGTGAAATTCAATTCAGTTTTGATTATTTTTAAATATGAGTTCGGTTAGTTCAATTATTAAATAATCAAAACCAAACTAATCGAAATAATTGTTTGCTCTACCTTAATGCATACACATGCATACAAAATCTGAACCTTTCAATTTTTACATTAGAAGGCTATAATTATGGGTATAAAATGGGGCTTTTTGGCTTTGAAATAGGGAAAAAAAAGGGAGGAAATCTTTGAAGATTAAGCTTCTAAAAGTTACACCAAGTACTTTCTCTCACTATATTTGATTTTCTCTCTCTATCTTCTTTTGTAAGAAAGCTTTATTTTTCAAAGATGTTGAGTTTTATAATGGATATGTTGAGCTAGATTTCTGTTTTTAAGGTTATGGTGGATATCAGCATGTAGTTTGGATATGTTTCTTCTTGATCCATACCATCCAACTACAACGAAAACCACAAGCAATCAAGATATGTAAAAGAAGCCCTTCTATTATCTGAGAAGCTCTTCAATAAGTTCTTAAGAAAATCCATGACCTTAAGATTAGGAATGGAGGAGGTAGAGGGAGAGAGAGAAGCTGATCTTTTCCCATCAAAGGGAATCGATGCAATGGCATACTCAAAGCAGTGTGAAAACAGATCGCTATTTAACTTCCCCTGTTGCCTGGAATTTGCAGTCCTAACTCCCCCTTTCGACCTTTTACTGCAAGAGAAGCCACCTAGCAATCACAGATAAATAAACTGAAATATATAATTTCTTTAGCTTCTTCAAAGGCTAGGCATTTGTAATAAACACAACAATGCTCTAAGTATACTCGTGAAAAAACTTGTAACACAGCAAATTCTCATACTGTATCAAACTTCCAACTAGCATGTAAAGTTCATGTAGAGTTTTCAAGAAGAAAACAAATTGCTGGGTTTTAAGTAACCAATCTAATGTAGTATTAGAAATTAACCTGAAGTCAAACGAATTGTTGGTGAGCTAAATAAAAAAGGGCAAATTTAGAACATTTAACCTACCAACACTTTCTTTTTGGTACGTGTGGACAAAGCCAGGGTATAACAGGAGGAAGTTAAAACTTGACTTTAACCCTCCATTGGAGAGAGAACGACCATTAGGACGAGCCTGGGTTGTAAAAAGTGAAAAGAAAAGCTAATTTCTACCAGGAAAAATGACAGAACTCAGCCAAGGAACTATGAAAATGAACATACATATGGAGACTCTGCAGCCCAAAAGCATCCCAGCAAAAATTACTGACACGTACCAGCATAACATCAATCTAACCTGTAAAACAAATCACCAATGCATCCGAGGCCAAGACTACAGCACCAAACCACCGATCTTAACCTGATCACATATACCCTTTCCCGTATAATTACATAAATTAATGAAAGAACACTACCCACTACCATTTACGAGCCAAAAATAAAAGGTCATAAAGATCTTGACGCTTAAAGTTCCTAAGTTGAAGAGATGGGGAAGAAGAAATAATAAGCAAAATATTGTTAGTAAACAGCCGTCTTCTTCAATACCTTCCTTACCTTTACCCTTTATTTCACATATTCCTAAATATGTGGTAAATTTAACAAACATGCTACGTTTAAGTTTTTTTTCCTTTGTCAAAACGTACAATTTTAGAAAAGGGATATCTAAACTTAATTCTTTGAATTATAAGATATATATATTATTTATTTGTAGAATTTTTAAATTCTACTAACCAAGTTGAATATTATCGCATATGTTATTAATTTATATTTTTAAAATTTTGAATAAATTAATATAATAATTATATATATTACAAAATCTTACCTACATTTACGAAGTCCGTATATCGAATAATAATTTTCAAAAATAAATAGTTAAGTGATAAGTTTAAGTTGTTAACGTCATTTAATTCCAAACCATGCGAAAATTAGAATTTTAACATGCACATACATATTTATTTACACTTGCATTTGTAAATTACGTTGTCTAGGTTTGACTTGTAAACTTCTTTAGTCTCCAACTAAAACATGCATTTCCTCCCGATGTGAGTAGGAAGATTGAATATCTTTCTTACATTTAGTATTATCATCATTATTCATTAACACTAAAAACATAGATCAGTGGTAGGCGCCCATGCGAAGAAATTCAACCCATATGGTCCACGTTGTTGATTGCAAGATTTAGCAGCCTTGGGTATGAGTTGGGTTTTAGTTTAGTGCATTGCAGGACCAGAGGCATAGACCCAACAAAATAATAATAATAAAAAGAAAGTCTCCTATGACTTCAGTTGACTGCATAATGCAGGGCCCCAAATAATTAACTGGAAAAGTTGCAGACAGTGTCCAGAACAGGTCACTTGTAAGATAAATTTGTCATTAACACATTGTCGAATTAGCTATGATTGTTGATGCCTGATAATTGTAAAGCGACCTAACAATTCATTCAGCAATCTTTGGTATTGGATCTCAAGAGGCTCCTGTTTTTGTCCCTAATAAAGTAACAGTACTAACATTTGACACTGCATCACAGCTCCATCTGCTGCCATTATTTGATAGCCCCAGTGTTGACAATATTTTATGTTGATATATATGTGGACACTGCGCTTTTCCTTTTTAGCTACACAAGGACAGTGAACTCTTGGGGCAAACAAACTTCTTTTTTTTAAAAAAAAAAAATCAGGTAAGAAATTTAACTTGAAAAACTCAAATTTTAATAAATAATTTTGTTTATTACGTCAATTATAAGTTGTAATTTCCTCTCATTTAATAAATACTTGGACAGCAACTTTCACTTGCAAGTTCCACCACCCGTCCTCAAAAAGGGACGCCGAAGTTTCACACGTGCAGGGTAGAAATGACGACGGGACTCCCCACGTGCGCACTGCGACGAATGAAACTCCGAAAATTGCACGGTGAACTTAGAGACTCTCTCCGACCGTAACGGCGGTAATGACAGAAGAGTTTCAACTAATTCCATGCATGAAGACACGCAGATACCTGAATAGAACTTTCACACGAATCCCATTTCTCAAACACGGATCTCCAAATGTTTTGGCTTTTTCTTGTTCTAACTTACTCAATGTCCCTCTTTCCCCCTTTTTACTTTTGTTTCTGCACCCATTAAAAGACATACGTTTTTGGAAACCTCTGTTGAATTCTTTTTTTTGTAAAATATTTTATTAAATAATTTAATTTTTTTTGTTATTTGAAGAAATTATCAAAAACATTTTTTATCCTGAGTTGCCTTCAATTTTTTTTATTTTAATAATTTTTATTATAATATTATAAAATATCAACATTCATCAATTAGGTAAGATATTTAAAATATTATTTATAAATAATATTTAATTTAATTAATTTATTTATTTATAATCATATTATTACATTGGTTAGTTTGTTAAGTGAATAAATCATAAATTGAAAATTAAAAAATTTCGAAGAGTACTTGCATTGTGTAAGAGATTTGTGAAATTTTATAAATATTTGATTTTAAAAATTTTATACATAAATTTAAAATAGCAGAAGACATAATTAATTAAAAATTAAAATTAAGCTATTTTCGTTATTTTAAGTTATTTCAATATTTGTATCTTATGTGTAATGTTTGTTGAGTTTATAATCACTTGAGAAAGTTAATTAACAAAGATAATCAGTTTCGAAAGTAAGAAATTCAGCTCTATTAATTTGATTTGTATGAATTTCATGACAATGAAGATAATAGGAATAAATTTTTTATTCTTTTAAAGCTTGTTTAGAGTAACATTCTTTTTTTTTTTGGTTTTCACTCCTTTTTTACTATTTGTTTTGCGATTTCAAAGTAGGAAAATAAATAAAAATAAATAACTGAAAGAAGAACAAAAATTCTAAAAAGAAAGGAAGTAAAAAAAAGTAAAGTAAGGAAAGGGAGGGACAAGGGCAAGAAAACATGAGATTTTGGTTGGGTGAAGTGGTGGTTGTTTTTAAAGAGAAGTCTTGAAAATTGATTGAGAAGAAAATGGAAAAATAAAATCGATTAAACTATTTCATTAAAATTGGAAAATATGAGTGATTGTGAGACACAGATAATGGTGATATATTGTTAAAAAAATAATAAATGAAATACTCGAATCTTATAATTATTTAAATATTTTTTAAATTTATTATCTTTACTCGAATCCTAATACATATCCATTATTCAATAATTATCTAAACTCATTTAAAAACTCAATTATATAAAAAAAATTTTAAAATGCTCTTCATGAATATCCTAACCCAAATCCATACTCGTATCTATATATAATAATATTTTCATCCATATTTCATATAATTTATTAATAATTAAATTTATAAAAGTACACAAACATCAAATTTTAAATTAAATAATAAAAAATAAACATCTCAAATATCAACATAAATAATTAAAAACAAATATTCAAACAACAACTTAAACATTACAAATTTAATTAACTATATGGGTTTACCCATAAAATTTTAAAAAAAAACTAGATTCTAAAACTATTCTAATGTCATAATTTCTTTTTAAGTATATATTTTATAAGTTTATATAGATAAAAGTATATATATTAATATTAATAATTTTATAAGTTATAAT